GATCTTTACCTTGTCTCTTAATTTCCAAGTGTTTATAGTTATGACATAATAGTTTTTACAAGATCAATTTAGTCACTAATTTAAGTAATTAACTATTTTGATGGCACCATTAGTTTTCAATTTTACCAATTGAGTCCTCTAATTATAGAAAGGATTTTTAATAAGTTATTTTTATGGCGAGGAAATTTATTTTAGATTTGGGTTCGTATATTTGAATGTTCGGGTTCTTGAGAAAAAGATTGGAAGCTAGAAATTGAGTTGGTGAACTTGAATTCAAGAGTTATTGTTTGGGTTTTATCGACGTCATGAGTTTGATTCCGCTGTCCGTTTTGCCAAATTCATACCCGAAGGCCTTGAAATTTCCAGTCAAACCCTTTGACTTTGATTATTGATCAAAAAGTCATATTTTATGTTTTTCGACGTCCTGAATCCGAATCCGAAGACCGTTTCGTCAAATTCAAACACGGTAAGATGCTTTTGACTAATTTATCACCCGATTCGATTCGTTTTTCAGAATTAAACTCTATTTTTGATTAAATTTCTGTTGATATGCATCTGAGGAATTTTTGGAAGATGATTTCAAGATCGATGGCGTTCAAATGGAATTTATATGGTCGATCAGTATGTCGCAAAAATCAAGGTAATACTTTACTACCTCTTTATGCTTTATGGAACATGTTGATATCGGTAAATGCATGAATAAGATAATGTTGATCACTTTTGTGGAGTTGAATAATTTATACACTTGATATGAATGTGGTAGAAATTCTGCAACTGAATACGGATCGAATGACTAAGATAAGAGATTGATAATTGTTAGAATTAAATTACAAGTTTGTGATTGGTGATAAAGAATCAACTCTGGATTTGTAACTTATATTTTATATCATCAAGGGTTAAATGTTAAAGGTACTTGGATGAAAAATTATGAGAATACTCCGATATGGTAAAATTACGAAATTACCCTTATGTAGGAAAATGATAAGAATCGTCCCTGGAAGTTGATTAGTAAATCTGAAAAGACATATTGATCTGATAAAACTACTTATGTGCATAAGAAATGCTAGTTTTGTATAGGAAATACGAATAACCGGTTTTTAAAACCAATAGGGTTTGTGCAAGATATTAGAATTTTATTAAGGAATTATTTCAAGATAAGAGAATGTTCGGGAAAGAAATTGATCATAGGATCTCTAAATTATAATTATTTTCGTTAAGAGCTAATATTGAAATTATCTGGTTAAGAAATTACGAAAATGCCCTTGAGATATAAAATAGTCTGAATTGACCCTAAATGAGAGAGTACTTTGAGGATTTGTACTTAACTCGATTAAGTACGAATTTAATTGTTAAGATCCTGTCTTTGTACAGAAAAATTTATAATATTCCGTTTGTAAAATCTGAGAAGACACTTGACCCGAAAATATTCGAATAAGGAGTAAATACTTAAAGAGTAATTTATCGGAGGTATTCTGCTGACAGAATTGTTCGAAAGGACTGAAGTAAATGATAAGATTGAATTAAATAATAAGACCGGATGGAAGGAAATGATTGAAATATTCTAGAGTTATAAAATGACCAAATTACCCCTGGAATGGAAATGACTCAAGAATGTCATCAAGCTCAGGAATGAATGGATATACTCAAGCTTTGAAATGAATAGAAAAATGTTGAGCACCAAAATGACCAAAATGTCCTTATGACCTAGAATAAGTAAATGTCTTGGATTAATTAAGAAATCCAAATAAACATGGATGTTGTGCTACCAGTAAAAGTTGTGGAACGCAACTTAAGTGATCAACCAACGTTAGTACTATATCATTACCTGAATGATATAAGTATCACTTGAATGTTTGTTCATCTTCTCAAATTTGGATTGATGATAATTCTGGAAGTACTTGGCTCAGCTCAACTCTAGAGCGCATACAATACTAATAAGTGGGTATTCGTTAGTCAAATCAACCACGAATACCATAATGACTTTATTATATGAATAAATTGAAATGAAATAAAGTACAACGTGTATTTGAAATTCAGAAACGTCTGAATTATTCTGGAAAACTTTAAAGTAATCGGGATAGACTTGCTTACCAAACGAACTAAGTAACATCAATGACTAAGGATTAAATAGGTGATTTGATGAGTTTGGAAACACTGTTGAACTTACATGATGAATTGTCATTATGGGTTATGAGCCATGGATCAAGTACGTCAGTATTTCCTGATATTGTTGAAACGTGGAAATGAAATAAAGACCGTTGGAAGATTTATTCAGTGATGATTATGGGGATGATCTATGGATCTGCATTATGGTATTAAAGAGTGAATACACTGAAAGGATAATGAATTGACTTGTTGACATGCATCAGTTTGAGAGTTGTGTAACTCGAGTTGTTTGATAATATGATCGATAGTCGTAGATTGTAAATGACTTGAATCTTCGATTCTATATTTCATCTAAAATCACTTCGGTCATGTTTGAAAAAAAAACAAGTAACGCAAAAGGAAAAGATTCTGAATATCTCATTTGGTTCAATTGGGCTGAAATCCTATGAATTCAAAGTATATTCATGAATACCCCTGATTGTTTGGGTAATGGAATCACTCGCAGTAAATCTGAATTTAGAATTATTATGTATAAAGGTTTCTGAACGTTTTCCTAATGCACACGAAAATATAATGGGATTCTAATGTATCAACCTTAAATGTCTGGCTAGATCGGTTAGTAATCGATTCTCCTCAATAGGACATTGTTCCTGGAATTCGATCAAATTTCATAAGTTTCATGTTATCCAAAATGATAACTACAATGGCCTCTGAAAATACTTGGATTCTCTAGTGTGTTCCCTAATTATTACTGAACTATTTTATTGGTTTTAATATGAGGTACAATGAGTTCTTTGGTTACTGTTTTATTGATGCACCAATTTAATGTGATGATTTATGGAATTTGTGTCACGGTGCAATTGAACTTTTGGATTGAATTACAATAGTATAGCTCTGATCAAGCTAATAAACAGAATGGGCCTAATGTGACTCTTGGGGCCCCAAGATATATTAGGTTGGCTTCCCTTGCTGTGTGCTTAGGGTAAGCTATATGGACTTGAACTTACGGGCTTAAGGATACAAGCTATAAAGCTTATCCTTAGGTTGGCTTTCTTTTTGCTGTGTGCTTAGAGTAAGCTATATGGAAAATAGTTTTGGAAATTACTGATGGTGTACAAGAAAAGAGTTTAAACTATGATTTTCAAAAGTTAAATTTCAGTATGATTTTATGAGATTTACTGAACTATCATTTGATAAGTGTACCTATTATGATTTTATTATACTGTTGGAACACACTAGACATCCTATTCGATCTCCTGAAAATGTCATACTTTGAAAGGTTTCTTATGAACTGAGATTCATGGCTTCTACTCGATGAAATTCTAAGGGAACCCCAAATTATTCTGCAAACTGATATACGTATGATTCTATTAAGGAAATTATATGGTTTTCCATTTATCTACATGTCATGTAGCATCATCTGGTAGTTCTGTATTACTGAGCTTTCCGAAGCTCACTCTATTACTCAACATTGCAGGTTAAAAGAATTGTACCAGTGCAACTATCGACATCAATAAAGTAGTTCTTCCGGCGTTGCTTACAGAGAATGGTACATGTGATTAGGGGACATGTGAATTGTATTTTGTTTTATATTTGAGTTTGAAAAACCTATTTTATTTCTGAATAATAAAAAATCATTTATGATTTTACATGTTTTAAGAAAAGTTTTAAATTTTCTGCTATTTTTACAGTGGGTCGCTTCGGTGACTTTAATGTGACACTCCAGATCGGATCGGGCTATCCGCATCGGTCTGAGGGGGTTACAAAATCATTAAAAAAGAAAATATCACATGGCTATTTGATTAAGTAGCTGAACTATATAGCATATCATAGGAACATACTAAACTAACCACATCCTTTTTGTAAAAGGAAGAAAAATAATAAAATTCAAGTAATACAAAATATTAAATATAAAAACTTAAATAAACAAATTCAAATTCAAAATGATAAGATATGGATGTAGATGAGGTAGTAATCATTTCATTCACATAATAAAGGAAACAAATCAAGAAATTTGAAGTACTAAGACTCGAGAATACTCATCTTGAATAAGCTATAGAATATAGTTACATTAGAGGTGAGTAAAATTTTATTCGACTCAAAAAATTTATCTTTTTGAACCGATTTGACTTAAAAAAAATTGACTCAAATTGACTTCAAGTTTCGATTTGAAAAATTTTCAAATTCGAATCGAGTTATAAAATAAAATTCAAATAACTCAAAATTGTTACTAATTAGTAAATTAATTTTCAAAATTTGAATCAAATCCCTCGACTTTATATGATATATGTATATCATCATATATGAATATATATATATATAAATTGTTTAAATTAGAATCAAATACTATCATAAATTCGATTTAACTCAAATTTTATAAATTTAATTAAACTTGAAAATTTTTTAAATCAAGTTTTAATTATAAAATAAAATTTAAAAATTTAAATAATTTAAATTTTTAACTTGATTTGATTGAATGTTCACTTCTAATATAGACAGGCAGACGTGGCCTATATAGCTAAGAACACATACTCGCTCACAGTTGGGCTGATAGGATGCCGAGTGCAGTGGAGGCATATACTCATTTCATTCTGATACAATCATCATCAAAAACCTAGTATGTAATCTATCATATCAACAACATTATAGGCTAGACTAGACAATTATATTATTCGATTCTTACGATCATAATCAATTTTTTTCTTCTTATTTAGAAAAAAAATATATATACTGTAGAAATTCAGCGAAGTTCATTTGCCAAGGAATGTCTAAACAATATTTTAAAAGAAGACCCGGTGTTTGAATGTAGAATTGAAGTACCAAAAGAGCATTGGTTTGTACAAAATTCAATTTCAACATTGTTTTTGTTACCATTTTTATGGAAGGAGTTGCACTCACACGGATTGTCCATAGATCGACGGCCTCGAATTCTGAACCAGGCTAACTTCTTCTTCTTCATCAGCATCTGTTGAAGCTGGTAAATTAAGATCGAACGATTGAAGAGTAGAAGAGGACGTAAGAGAAGCCTTATCTTGATGAGCGACGGGTAAGTAAGCGAAATGGATTTTCTTGTGGCCACCAAGAGCTTGACCTGAATGGAACACCTTGTCGCAGAACGGGCACTCGAAGATTCTTTGTTGATGAATCTGATGATCATCGCCGGAATCTTCATCTTCTTCATCAGCGTCTTCTTTGATAATCTGCTTGTTTTTGTGACTGTGACTAGCTCGATGCCCACCTAGAGCTTGGTGAGATCTGAAACTCTTATTGCATGTCTCGCACTTGTAGTACTTTGGGTTAGCTTTGCTACAGAATTCATCGTCGATATCTTCACCGCCGCCATTGTCATCCTCCTCCACCACCAAGGATTCATCATAATCCATGTATTCTTCAGTTTGAGTTTTCTTCTTGTTTTTCTGATGATGATCCCTCGAAAGCATTAGAAGACACATGGCGGCATCTTCGGCGGATAAAGGTGAAGCCAGCGAGTTAGACGGTGAGTTCAACCCCAACTTACGAAGACGTTTAGATCTTCTACCAAGAGGATTGTTCGGTGAGTCGGACTCGGTGGGGAGTTGACGTTTGGTAAGCGAAGAAGGAGGTGGATTGGAGGAAGAAGAAGAAGCAGACGAGTGAAGGGCGAATTTGAGTTTAAGTAAATGAGATCTCATGTGACCACCCATGGCTTTGCCATTGGCGAATCTTCGGTTGCAGATGGCACAGACTCTGGGGTTTTTATCCATTGCAATGCACAAGCAAGGAGAGAGAGAGAGACGAAAGGTGAGTTACTGAGTTGAGTTTATTTAAGTAGAGAGACTGAGTTGAGTGAGATTAGGTATTATTAATGAGTATAAAACCCTTGCTTTGGCAAATCAGAACAAATGCAGAAGGTCCAGAGAGACAATGACGTTGCCAAAATCTTAATTTTATTTTATTTTTAATTATTAAGTGTTATCTTTATCTTATAATGTGGCAAACTCGCAATGAGATTAGTAAAAGTTTGTTTCAAATATTCAAGTTATAAGGATGGGAAATCTAATATATATTTATAAATTATCTCTTTAAACACTTATTTTTTTTTAACCACCTACCTTCAATATATTGATAAACTATTCCAGATCGAGTTTTACATAGACCCATAACGGGAGTGACCCTCCCAACCGTAATTTACTCCATTCATAAATATTTAGATTCAAACTTCTGACATTACTTAAAGGATCTAGTGTATAATCTCACTAGGTCAAGTCCAATTGATTCTGAATAAACACTGAACCGGCTCTATTTTATTCACAAAACTAATTTTTTTTATCAATTTAATTATTAATGTTTAGGATTGAATAACAAAATTGAGAAAATCGAAAATCAATTTGAATCGCACTATGTGATTCAGTTTGGTTCGATGAGACATTTAATTTTTCAATTAGATTTGATTTTAGTTTTTTCATACGAAATCTGTTTATTCAAAATCAAATCGAATTAACAAAGAAAAGAAAAGAATGATTCAAGTCATTTTTTTGAATTTGTTATATAAGACAAACTTAAATAAATAAATTTCTAAAACTAATAATAATATTGTTTTGAACTTAAACTTGTGTGTTAAATCACGATTTAGGCTTGAATTTTGTATTCTTCAAAGGTTGAGTTTAAAAAATGATGAACAATTAAAATCATAAAACTAAACTGATCAAAAAAATTATGTTTTTATTTCATTCGGTTTCAATTTTGGTTTCATTTTATAAACCGCATAGTACATTTCGATTGATATTTTTATCAAAAAAACTAAATTAAATACACCCCTAATAATGTTAGGAATTACTATCAATTTGGTCACAGTCCGTTAAATAGTTTACACGAGATTTCTTTTAATTGATAAAATAACATATTTAATCCTTATGTATTATATCAGTTTAATTTTAATTTTAATAATTTACTAGATTTAATTCTTGATAATTAAATTTTTTTATCAAACTGATCATGACTCTAAAATTTATAAAGTAAATATAAAAATGTAGAGAAAATTTAAAAGTACTCTAATGGTTTATACTGTTGAAATATATAAAAGAAATACTTTAGGGTGTGTTTGGTTGGGGGAATGTGAGATTCCCATGGGAATGAAATTCACATTCCCCGTTTGGTTGGTCGTGAATGTCATTCCCGGTAATCTTACATTACCAATAGTGAATTTTTTGGGTATATTACCGGGAATGCCATTACCTCCCTTTCCTTAGGTATTGTTGGATTACCGGTGTTTTGGACTAAAATGCCCTTAAAAAAAATTTCTTTCAAAAATATTATTATTCTGTCATTGTATAATAAAAACTCTACGAATGTTAAATTACAAATTTATCCTTAAACTATTTTAGATTTCCAAAAAAACAATCTATAATTAAAATACTATATGAAGTTCAGGGGTTAAAATAAAATTTTACCCTTTCATTAAACCTTTTTATATTTTCAATTTTGTAAAAAAAATTATATAAATTTTATGAATTTAAATTTTTTAAAGAAAATATATAAATATTTTCCAACTTGTTAAAAAAGAAAATATATAATAAGGACAATTTGATAAAATATACATTCCAATAATCTTTTATTCCTTTAACCAAACACGATAATCTTACATTCATGCTAAACCAACCAAACACAAAATACAACATTCTCAGTAATCTTATTCTCTGATAATATTTTATTCTCACTGATAATCTTACATTCGGTGAACCAAACGCACCCTAAAGAGTTGTCCCAATTCTTATATGGCATTGATTTTCCCAGTCCGTACACAGCCAATGTTTTAAGGGGTAATTTGATAGGATTTATAAATGTGAAAGGTTAAATTGACATAATTATTTAGAATTGGGATTAAATTGATAAAATATGTAAAGATTGAGGGTTAACTATATTATTATGCCAAATAAAGGGAGACAGCATCATCATTTCATTAATTTTTTAACATATAGCGACCAAATCGATATCACTTTGTAACGTTATTGATTAAATCAGTAAAAAATTTAATTTAGTGACCAAGATAAAACTAACCCATAAATTGATGACTAAGGAGTGAATTTACCCACATGCATACATATATGGTAGAATTCGTGATTCTATACGGCACATGATTTTAAAAAAAGACTTTAAAATGGATTAAGTTTTTTTTAAAAATAAATGAATTAAGTTAAATACTTGAAAAAACATTTGTAGAATGAAAAAAAATGTAAATATAATAAGAAAAGTGTAATGAAAAAATATAAATATAATAAAAAAATGTAACGCTTTCTTTGTGTTTATTTGTCATGCGTAAGGATATATATAAGATTTTATGTTAGGAGCATACGTATAAAATTCTGGAAGAGAGTAAACTTATAAAATTTCAGAGACGAATAAGGACGATTGTCTCTATTCACCCCTCAATACATCCTGCATGCTATTAAGGATTTAGATTACTCCGACATCATTTACATCGGAAGACTGTGAGCATAGCCTTCTACGAGATGCAACTTATAACACCTGCCATATCATCAAGCATTCAGATTTATGAGCATCCGTAATCACATCACAAGATTGATTTATATTCCTTCTAAATGTTGTATGATTTTTTATTAATATGAGGTTATATAGGATAAGACTCAATTATCTGATTTTAATGTCATACATTCTTACATGTGTGATATTCGAATATGAAACCTCAATAATAATTTATTAACTATAAAGATAGACGGATTCATGCTTAAATGCCATGTGATTTGATAATAAAAATCTGTAATCATTGATATAAAAAATTGATAGATTGATAATAGGTACAGAAAAGCAAAGGTAGGCACATGATTCATTAACATTGAATGTGTGGTTAACAATAACATTGTGGTAGTGAAATAACATTTAACACCCAAGGGACTTGCAAAACAAAACTACTTCCGTATAAAAATAAGAATAATTAAACTGCAGTCGTTCCATCTGAATCCACTGATGCTTGAACCAGGAGCACAACATTGTCATTCACAAGCCCAGCAACGGCTGCTCCAATCAACGGTCCAACCCAGTATACTGCCTGGTTCTTGAACCGACCCGCCACCACCGCCGACCCAAACGCTAATGCAGGGTTCATTGACCCTCCCGAGAACGGCCCTGCCGCCAGCGTCATGGCTCCTGCCATCAGTCCTATCGCCACCGGTCCAATGCCCCTCAATGGACCGCTCCTCCCTGCATAAACAACGTTCACCAAACCGAATGAAAGCACTCCTTCCACCATCGATGCTCCGAACCCCGTCATTTCACTCGCTATTGTATATATTGGCACGTCCTGCAAAAAGAACACAACTAAGAAAATATTGTTTCCAGACATATTATTAGGGATGGGTATTTCATCCAAATTTAATAAATTTGGACTCGATTTAATTATATTTTAACTTAAAAATCGAGTCAAATCTTAAATCAAATGTGTTCTACTATACTTACGTCAAGTAGGAGTATGGCTGGAAGAGTTTAATTTTAGATTAAGTTTGATGAACCAAAACGTGAAGCATGATTATACCTACATATTACAAGATAAAACGGTGCGGTTTTCATGTACCTGGGAGACGGTAGCGACCTTCAACAGAAGGCAAGCCATGACAGAGGCTAACATTTGAGAAACCCAGTAAAATAGAGCCGTCGAGACATTAATATGACCTCCAACTGCCATCCCGAAGGTGACGGCCGGGTTTACGTGTCCACCGGAGACGTTTGCCGCCATGTACACCGTCGAAGACAGAGCGAATGCGTTTGCGATGGCGACTAACACCAGACTAGACGGATCGCTTGTTGCCGAGTCCGACGTCAATTTCCCTGGTGAAAACAACAATTTGAACATCATGTTTATGTAAAACGTAAGAACGAAGGAAAGAGAAACTACAAGGACTGACGTGAAGCCATGGCAGAACCGACAACCGCAAACACGTAAAAGAACGTGGAGATGAACTCTGCAAGATAGGCTCTAAGCGCATCGGGGGTGACTGATTGCTTGAAACGGGAAGTGATGGACGCAGGCGCCATTTCGATCGCCAAAAACAAGAATTCAAAATCGATAGTTTTTTTTAGTAGAAATCAAAGAGATGTTAGAATTTTAATTGCTTTTGAAAACTTACAGAGATAAGGAGAAGAAGTAGAAGGGAAGTTTATAATAAGAATGAAGGGTTGGAACGTTCTAAAGTTCAAAAATTAACCGCCCACAACGAGTCACGTCGAGGCGCTGCGTTGCGAGTTTCTGGGTACTTGGGTGACGTTTTATATCGTTACGTTGATTTAATCTGCTGAAGCGGCTTGGGCTACCCATTACATTTGTGGGTTTGAGTCAATTTTTGCTTTGTTTAGGTTTGGGCTCAATTTGATCCCATACGTATTTTATTTAGACGACATATTATTTTTTTTCTAGAGGATCCAGATTTAAGAACCTATAAAAATATATACATTATCAATAAATTAATTTTTTAAATAAATAATATATTATAATTACTCATATTAATAAAAATAATAACAATAATTACACAACACATTATAAGAGTGACTAATCGTGAATGGAAGCCCAACCATAGACTTTTTGGACCGCAATTTGATTTCTTATTTTATTTTATTTTGAATAGAATAAAATGATTATACAATAGTTTTTATTAAAAAAAAATTAATCTCTTGAAAATATGTATACAGACCGCAAATATAATCATTCAAAATTAAGATCTTTAATAAGAACAATATTACCTTTTATCACGAGGACACCTTATGAGTTTGATTTATTATTATTTTTGTTTGGTGAGGATTTGCAATGAATAATTGTCTTATGCATGTATCGATCATGCATGATTACATACTTATTTGATTTGATTTAGTTTATAAAATACATGCTTATAAGAAACTTAACTAAAATGGATTGGGTCAATAAAATTTAAATAATCTAATTAAATTAGATTAAAATATTAATAAAGAACATTCTACAAGATAAATTGTTATAAATAGTGTACTTAAATAAAATGCCAGCTCACCTCTGAATTATTTATGAAATAAGTAACCAAATAAATCTTCTTTCAGCTCGTTAATTTTAAAATTAAATAAATAATTCTTTTTAATATTTTTTAAATTATTATTAACTTTTAAGAGTCAATAATTAATTATATTATTAATAATTTTATCAATTTTAATTAATATAGAAGTTTTAATTTTAATTAATATAAAAGTTTTAGTTTTATTTTTTATTATATCAATTCAATATTAATTTTAAAATTTTAAATATATTTAGCTTGAATCATTTAAAAAATATATAAATTATATATTAAATATTTTATATAAGTTAATAATTTAATCAATAACATTTATTAAGTAATAATATTTTTATGATTTTCGTTATTAAAAAATATAAACATAGATAATTAATATTTTATATTATTTAATTAAAACTAATTTTATTTACTTTTAAATATCAAGAGTCGAATTAAAAAAACATAAACATAAAAAGTTATGTTTTAATATTTATCAGATAAAAATTAACAGTAAAATCAAATGAAAAAAATAAAAATAATCAAACTAGAGGGGTAAACAAATAGAGCTGAGCTCAATTAAATTCGAAAAGTGTAAAAATGTATTCAACTCAATTTGAAAACTCACGAGTTTAAAATTGTAAAGCTAGACTTGAATTTGAAATAAAAAATAAAAGTTTGACTCTACTCGAAAGCTCGAAAACTTAAATTTTCAAGCTCGACTAAAATTAAAAAAATTAAATTCGAAATATTCTCGAACTTAACTAAAATTTAAATTTAATTTTTTTTAAAATTTTAAAATATTATTTATTCGAATTACTTGTAAAATTCTCTTCAACTCATTAAAAATTTGAATCTAATTTAAACTCAAATCGACTCATTAAGAGTGATATCATCTAATTTACATCCCTACTTGAAACACCACAAAAACTATAAACATATTAACAAAATGTCAGCTCACTTCTAATTAATATATGAGAAGAAATGCCAAAGATAGATTAATAATGAAACGAAGCCAAAAACAGAATGGCGAGAAGCATGTGGACGAACTCCGGTATCGTGCTGCTCTCAAACTCACCAAGATCACACCTTATTTTCTTATTGTTGTTGGAATTTTCTAAACCATTTCAGCTAAGAACTAATCATATTATACATCTGCAGCAGAATCGAAACAGAAGTTTCAACAACTCCACACACCCAAAATTTGGAGATCGATTCTTTCTTCGACCGCCGCCTACACTGTTTCATGGCCGTTTCTCTGTGGTAGCTCTTCAGAACGTCTTCTTTGTAAGCTAAATCTCTGGTGTCCTTTATGTCGTCGGTGCCGAAGAATACATCTCCGAACGTCTTCAGATCGATTCACTATTTCATGGCTGTTGGAATTCAAGTGTCATCCCTTCAATTTTCAGGTAAACAATATGGTTAATCAAATAAAAATTATTATATAATATTAATTGTAGTAATTAATGTTGACTATTTTAATTTGTAGTTTCAAATGATACCACGAACTCAACATCAACAGAATTACAACCAACTGTTTGGATTGAGATTGCTACAACGAAATATTCCACAAGTCATATTATTATCATATTATTTTTATTTTATGTAAACATTTAAACTTTTTTATATTTATAGAAATGAAATTATTATATTTTTAGTGAAATAATTGTTTAAATCTTATTATTTTGCAGTAAGTAAACTATTTTTTTATTTAGATTTGTATAAATAATGTTTTAATATATATTGTCATTAAAAATGTGACAATTTTTAGTTTTGCCACTATGACCTTATATATAGTGACGTTATGCATAATCATCATTAAAAATATTATTAGATATATTATGTCACTAAAAATGTGATAATATCTATTTCGTCACATATAAGTTGATTTTAATGCAATATTTGTGACGATATAAATCATCAATAACGAAATTTTACATAATTTAATGACATAATTAGTTGTCATTGAATATTAATTATATAATGACATTATATATAAATGTCATTCATGCTACTATTAGGTGACGATATACTACATTACTAACAATGTGACAATTTTCTTTTCGTCACGTATACAATAAAATTATTGTGTTATTGGTGACGATATGATTTATTAATGACGAAAATGACATCATGTAGTGACAAAAGTAATTGTCACTGAATGCAAATTAAATTGTGACGTTATCCATTAGCGTCACTATATATTTAACAATACATGACGATAACACATACATCGTCACTTTTGACATTTAGTGACACACCTAGGGTGACGATCGTCGTGACATTGACTTTTACGTCACAAAATAAAACTAGTGACATAAATTGAAGTTTTAGTGACAACAACCTAGATGCCACTAATAAGAAAATTTGTTGTAGTGACACCGGAAACGAAGAGAAGGATCAGGTTATGTATTGGCTTCCACCGCCGTCGCCGTCAGCCCCATCGTGGGTTGGGATTCCTTTGGCCATAAATGGGAGAAAAGAGAGAGGGGTTGAGAATCAGATATGGTAAAAGAGTAGTTCTAGTTCATTGGGGGAACTGGATAAGTATTTTTTATAGTGATTTGACTTAGCTGCAACTTACTATCATCGAGACTGGGTCGTACCCAATATCAAACTACGTCGTTTTATTGGCTTAACTAGAAAATAGGTGTCCAATATTAAACAATGTCAAATTAAAATATAATCAATAATTAGTTGGTATAATGAGATAGATATTAAGTATTAAGTAATGTTATAGGTTTAAATCTTTACATTGTCAATAGAATAAGCTGGGTTAAAAAAATCGTCTCTATAAATTGACTTCTATAATATTCAATCTAGATTAGTTGATTAATAGATCAGTTAACAATGGTTAAATCATTTATATATATAAACTAAGATTTTAAAGTTTGGTATACTACATGAAATAAAACAAGTTATTAATTTGAAGTTTAAGAGAAATGGTTTCTGTAAAACAAAAACAAATATCAGCAAAGATGAACATGAGTTTCCATCAAATAATCACGACTTTGCTCATTTTGGAGTGATTTGTTCTAGGAGGGCCAATTTCTATACCAACCCGCCATGCAAAGACCAAGCCACTGACACCGAGCGAGAGAGTATGGTTGCAGAAAGGGTTAGGCTCGATCTCTGCAAGTGCTATAATCAAATCAACAACATTGGTCGCCACTGCCATCAACCTCATAACCCTATATTCTCTATCTTCCTTATCTTCTGTTTTGATCCCTCTTCTTTTTCCAAACCAATGAACTTCTTTTCTGCTTCCATCCCTTGTTTCATGGCAATCAAATCTGAAACGATGAAGAAAACATACCCAAAAGACTCACCAAATGCAGATACGAAGCTCATCCTCTTGGCCAGATTTTGATCCAAAGTCCCGATCCTCGATAACCAAAGGAAGTGGTCAAAGATGAAATACACCATCTCACCTGTTGCGGAAGACGGCTATCGGATAGAGTAAAATCGCAACTAATAATTTGAGAAAATAAAAATGAAGATAAAAGAGACACAAAATTTATGTGAAAAACCCCTAAATAATATAGGGTAAAAACCACAGACAACGGTAGAAGAATTTCTCTATGAGAAAATAGGAATTACAACTTCTCTCGATCTACCAAGGAGAAAACAATGATAATTCTCTCTTAAATAAAAAGGAGAAAACAACTCTTAAGGAACTCTCTAAATTCTCTCTAGTATTGGAAGAAAGCTAGAATGCTTTGGGATGGTTTTGAAGCTAAATGAGCTAGGGTATTTATAGTTGAAGCTTTAAGGACTAATTTGTAAATACCCTAAATTACAATGACTAATTGCATAGTTTTACCATCCAAAATTTTCAAACAATTTGGTGGCCAAATTTGACCAATTTTGCCGCCCCATTAATGCCACCAAATTGACACCCATAATGTTGACTAATGATGCAATTTGGTGTGCCAATTTTCAACAATCCCCCACTTGAAGATTTGATTGGAACAATCACATCTTCACACCATTCTTTCTACCTTGTACCTTTCATGTTGCTTATGTCTCTGACAGGCCAC